TAAATGTGCTTCTCTCACATCACACAATCTAGTACACCCAGTGGGGCAGGGTAGAGTTCCTACCAGGTGACCTTTCCCACAAGATAGACCTGGGGTGAGTCCAGAGAGAATGGTCACTCAGGAGGGACCTTGTGGACAAGATGGACAGGAGGTTAACCAGGAGGCAAAACTGAACTGGGAAGATGAACAGACATGCAAGAGCCCAAGGCCATGTCCCTGACACACACAGAGTTGGTCAGTGCAGAATCACAGGAGTGGGGGGCACTTGAGGACTTGGCATCCTGCAACTTTTGCCCTCCAAGACCTTAGCAAATGCCCACAGGAGAAACCCAGCCTGCTGTTGAGGACTCAGCCATGTCAATCAACCTCTCAGCTCAAGGCGACCCCCAAAGCACAGTCAGGTCCTCTTCCCTAGGGCAGCCCCTCTCCCAGGACTATGTCAGAGTGCTGTGGACATTCAGGTTTAAAATGTTAAAGTGGGAACACAAAAAACAGGTAAGCTTCTGCCCCCACTAACAGGTCCAATCTGTCTCAGGAATTTTAGGCCTCCTTTTAATTTCTTGTCCCAGGCTTCTGTGACAAGCTTGAGTGTAAAGTGGTTATTTTATGGTTATTTTCTTCTGTGCTTAGTACAGTGTTTTTCATGGTCTGCTGAGGCCTGCAACATCCTAAGTGAAAGTGAAAGTTCATTTTTTAACCGAATATAATGTATGGGTTTCAGTTTTGTTGTTCAGTTTTATACATGTAGATTTAGAGACCACAAAACCTGTATACTACGTGGACACAAAGGGTGAAAATGATGAAAACTCTGAAGAAATGGTGATAGTCAAACCCGAGCTCAGAATGACTGAGAGTGAGTGACTCCATATTCCAGGTAAGGGCAGAGCCTGTATGCTTAATTCCTCCTGTTTAAACTCTGTTCTAATAACTACAGTGATCCATGAACAAGAGGTTTAATATTTTAAAATAGAAATTTTTTAAAAAAGACTTGAATTAAATGAACAAATTATCCTACTTAGGAAAATATACTGTGTTTGAGGTTTCCATTTCTAACAACATATTCTATCAAGAATACAATT